TTCTCATCGGTACGTTGTGGGGGGATTTTAGGGTCAGTCGGCCTGAGCCTCGCTGACTGCTGAGCGGGAGCCATGTTAGCTTTTCTGTTTTCTAGTCAACGTTTAAGTGTGTCCAAACTGCACCACTTGGGTCCTTAGAAATACAGCTTCCAAGTGTACGAACGGTCCTCGAGATTATACACAGGGTTCATACACTTTTTCACCAATGATTTTCAATGACTTTTCAATGACTTCTCCATGACTTTTACCTACTTTTCCATGACCAAAGACATTACTGTCTCAGCGGTACCACTGAAAATGGTTTATTTTAACATGGAACAGGAAAAGAAGGTCTGCAACATGTTGTGCTAAAACAAATCAAATAGTAGCCTTACTAGCTTCTACACGCTAAAGCAACTGAAGTCTCTCACCAGCAAAATACCTCGTCAGTTAAATGCCATTTTACGTTTCATTACTATACGATACAGTATGTATTAGGGCTGTGCGATTATGGCAAAAATCATAATCTCGATTATTTTGGTCAATAATTGATATCACGATTATTAAAAACGGTTATCCATTTACTTTGAAAACATCCATATATTGAAAAAAAAAATGTGAACAGTATGTTTTTAACAGTTGATTACCCTGAACTTTAAGTATAATTCAACTGAAAAACCAATAAAAAAAATAAAAAATTTTTTTTTTTTTTTTTTTAATAAAAATAATAACCGTTTTATTTCGATTACATTGTTTTCGTAATCGTTGCAAGCCAAAATCGTAATCGAGATTAAAATACGATTAATTGCACAGCCCTAGTATGTATTATCATTATAGTATTACTATTTCGGCGATTAGATAAAATATAAATTATATTTGATGCAACTTTAGTTACATTTCCATGACTTTTCCAAAACTTTGGGAAAAATATTGTTTTCCAGGGCCTGGAATTAGCATTTTGAATTTCCATGACTTTTCCAGGTTTTTAATGAATGTAAGAACCCTGTATACATTAATAACATCAATTATTACATTTCTTTAAAAAGCATAAATGACATATATCGCTGACTCACAATAGGTTCATTAATATGGTTTTTTTTAGGGGCACCTGGGTCCGCCTCGCTGCTAACACAGAGCCATACTTCCTATCCTCTTTCCGCCACCTCCCAGGCATATATCTTAGTGTGTAACGTAGGACTGCCTCCTCTTCATCACGTCACTGTGAGATAACGTTCCTCTCTTTGTAGCGCAGGATATTGGCCGCAGCAGATAAGATGTCCAGTCTCTCAGTCTTTGTTTCTCCTCAATTAAAACGAGATTCTACCCGGCCGGTGGTGACACTGATGGCTAAATGAATGTCTTTTTGGAGGCCGCAGTCTTACAGAGAAACATCTTTTTATCCTAACTACTGAAAGCTGTGTGAGCCGGGTCCAAACGTGAGTCATGCTGGAACCGTCCGGATAGGGAACGAGACGCTCCAACAACACACACACACGACCCCGACCAGGAGGGGGAGGAGTCTGGACATGCTCGGGTCAGAGAATCATTTCATTGCCATTTCTACAGCTTATGTCCATGTGACAATAAAACCTTTGAATTTTGAATTTGAACAAAATGTGATCAAAGGATGAGATCAGATCCCGACTTCCTCCACATCCCTGAGCCATTATCCAATAATCATCACGTGCTCGGATCAGTGCGGAGAAGGGAGGCACCTTTAGGGTCGCTGTGTGTGTGTGTGTGTGTGTGTGTGTGTGTGTGTGTGTGTGTGTGTGTGTGGCACTTTGTTTTAAACATGCTGTATGGTCATGTTCAGATTCTAGTATTTTGTGCCTCTGCTGTGACATGTCTCCGTGTGTGTGTGTGTGTGTGTGTGTGTGTGTGTGTGTGTGTGTGTGTGTGTGTGTGTGTGTGTGTGTGTGTGTGTGTCAGTGGAGCTTTGCTTTGCAGCTGAAGTTGATCTTTCGCTGACTATAATTGGACAAAAGCGGACAGAGACACATCCTGAATGTGTGTGTGTGTGTGTGTGTGGCATCTCATGTTCTGTCAATCACACTGCTCGAAACACCCCGCACCCCTCAGCCACACACACACACACACACACACACACACACACACCCCTCCCACAGCTGGTGACAGCGGGACAGAAGTGACACGGGGACGACCGCGGTCCAATCATCAGGCCTCTGGCAACTGAATGCTTCCACAAAGACACACACACACACACAAACACACACAAACACACACACACACACACACACACACACACACACACACACAGACACACGTGGAGCTATGAATACAACTGGGACACTGCCCCCCCCCCACAAAGGTTAGAAAGGAGCCTCTGCCTGTGACCCCTTGTTAACCCTTCACAGCCTGCAGGACGCTCAGAGACGATACGAGCTGTGTTTGTTATTTAAAGGTTTCTCCTAACTCTTAAACTCTCACACACTTTCTAGTGTTGTATGCAAAGTGTTGAACAGACCGATCAAGAGCCTTCCACCTCCGAAAGCCTTTTGAGCAAGCAGAAAAGACAAAAGTAAAGAGCTATTTTATTTAAGATAAGACGAAGAAAATGACTGCATGCTTATAGTCATTTAAACTGATTTACAGAAGTGAAGAAAAGTGCTCATATTTGAGTAAAAGTAATAATATTTAACTGTCAAAATACTGCATATTAATATGAGAAAGTATATAGTCAAATGTGACACACATCGGTCACAGAGCAGTGAGTAAAGAGGGGTCTCCGCCGCGGGGCTCCAGGAGTTAGTCTGAGCCGCCGGTGGCCCCAGTGCATTGTGGGTCAGGAGGTAAACACTCCCTGCCAAAAAGGAGGAGGACTAAAGACTTGAAACAGTACGGGAGGTCACATGACTCCACCTGCAGTCACCTGACCCTCGGAGGCAGACTGAGGTAACGTGCAGATTCCTCTATGATGAAGCAAAGTGGAAGGGAAGGTAATTGGAATATTAACCCCAAAAAAATGCACATTTAGGAAAGTCCAAGCGTCTGGAAATATGAGAGTCAGACACACTTGCAATAATACAAAA